TGGTCAGGGCTCTGAAAATCCGGCCATTAAATGGCAACAAAAATATGCAGAAAAAAATGAGCCTTTTCTTGTCTTCTAAAACTCATTCAGATTTTTGCAGCTCATATCTGGTTGTCCTAAACAATATCAAACTAGGATTCTACAGACAGCATATGGCTTTGTTTACAAGTAAGTCTAAATTAGCCGAGCCACCATTGGACATGTGACAATGATACTGGCAAAAGAAATGTTTTACTGAATTCCCTTCCAGTTCTGTAATATTTTATCCTAGAAGGCCATTTAATCACTTTGTTTCTTATCTTTCTGAAGCATCCTTTTTATCTGTTCTCTGGGTCAAAGCTGCAGTTCCTGAGTTTTTTTTATTTTTTTATTTTTTTTTGCACATAAATCCAAAATAATGGCAGTAGCAGCTGCAGTGCTTACCATATATGGGATATTGGCAGTTGCCTGGTTCTACTCTTGGTATATATACACTTGATGCCTTTTAAGGGAACTCAGTGCCTGCAGAGTGAAAATATCCAGAAACTGAACATGTCTTTCATAGACCTGCCACTTTTCTACTGTTAGAAGCATATGAGGAGTACAGGCTCCAGAGATAAATGCTTCAAATAGAAAGGAAAAGCGTTTTTTTTATTTAAATTCAGAAAACTTAGATAAGATCTCCAGAACAGCAGAGAAAATTACTGTCCAAATTCTTCATACAAGATAGCATTTTTGTGGTTTGTCTCTTGGCTTACACATTATTGCGAACTTTGACAAAATAAACTGCTGTCTTTGCATATACGTTGAGGTAAAGCCTCCACTGAATTCAATAGTAATATCAGTAACTTTTGAAGTACTTTTTATTTTAAAAAAATTGCAGGCTGCAAAAAATGTCAAATGCCTTATCATGGTCCTATGCTGCTGTCACAGATGTTCTTGGTTATAGACCCATTTTGTTCACGAAATACATCACATAAAACTCTCTTAAATCTTCTGTATTACACTCCTTTTGACTGAAGACGAAACATTCAAAACTTTGAGGGTTAAGTACATTTGAAGATAAATACATTACTTTGACTAAACTGTTTCTAACATTTTCCATTTCTCGACCCAGTAAAATTAGCTGGCTTTTTTCCTCAAATCATTTTTTAATATCAGAGGTCATCTTTCACAT